ATGAGCTAGGGTTTGAGCTCGCCGCCTGGATTAGGGTTTTTGTGGGGTCGGTGTTGGGCTGGGCCTGTCAAGCGGACGCGCATGGGCGTGCCCGGGCCGCCCCATATTCGCGCTATATTTGGGCTGGATATGAAGGATGTCGGTCAGCCCGGGCTTTTGTCCGTGATTTGAGAGGTCTGGTTAGGTCAAATTTTTTTTTGACCGGTCAGTGGCCGGACGACCTGTCCGGACGTTTGAGATGGATACAAGAGGCCCGGGTGTAGATGTTCTTACTCTGTTCATATCCCTAACCGAACCTACGAATTGTTTTTATACAATCCTCGAGCTCTGGTAGGTTTTTGGGTTAGTTTTTTCTTATAAATTGCATCATCTGTGTAGATTTTTGGGTGTAGTTTTACATGTACACTGGACCATTTCTATCCTTTTTATAGAAATTGCAGGAATCCCTGCTCTCTCGAAGAGGTTCTTCCAAAAAAAAGAATTTAGCTATTAGAGAAATGAACCAGCCAAACCAATCTTTACGCGTGGAATGCTTCAATGGGTCAAATTTTTGTTTCTAAATTGCCTTCACCTTTATCAACTTTACTAACGTTTTTTTTTTGAAAGACCCAGCAATGCGCTGGTGTCATGACATGGACGCGGCCTGGATGCCCGATGAGCACGGTGCTTCCTCTCAGGACCTTGGTGTACTCTTTCTTTCTCAGGTACGTGTACCACCTAACGCTGACAATGCAAACATATCCTTGTTTGAACGGTTCTTGCAGCCCCCACGGTTGATTTTATAATTTTATGCCCACTGATTAAACGAAGCTTGTTGTTTTCAGGTCGACCTCGTGTCATTAAGTCTGTTTCAAGTTGTTTAATGGTGGTAGATACGACATGGTCGTCTAGTCCGATTGTTCTCCTCGATCACGTGTTCTTTTGAAACACGCAATGTTCTTTTGAACTCTTCTTTCTTCTTGCACCCCATGGATAGCACCTGGCTCCTATGTTATATGTACATACACGCGACAGGAGAGAAGAACATAACACTCTTCTCGAGATCAGACATGGATTCGAGGATAGCTTTCTCTTGCTGTGCTCTGCTACTGGTGGTCACACTGTTGCCTCTTTCCGCAAATGCGTCGAGCAAAGTAAGTTATGATTCCTCCTTGTTCGCAAGACTTTAACTTTGGCTTGTTCTGAAATAGTTTTTTGACCACTCTTCGCATGTTTATTTCAGCTCCACATAGTGTACATGGGGGAGAAGAAACATGACGATCCATCTGCTGTCACGGCGTCACACCATGACATACTAACCTCCGTTCTTGGGAGGTACTGGCTAGCTAGTAATCCATGTTACTATATATTAGTACTGTTGCTAACATTATGTCTTGTCTGCAACAGCAAAGATGAATCCTTGAAGTCGATAGTTTACAGTTACAAACACGGATTCTCTGGGTTTGCGGCAATGCTCACCAAAACCCAAGCTAGGACGTTGGCAAGTAAGTGATAAAGATCTGCCGTCTTTATATGTTTTTTTTGTGGGGTGTCTTTATATGTTTTTTGCGGAGTAATTCACATTGGATACTACAATTGTAGAATTTCCTGAAGTTATAAGTGTGAAGCCTAACACTTACCACAAGGCGCACACAACTCGAAGCTGGGACTTCCTTGGCCTTGGACACAACAAATCACCACAACAAACTGACCTCCTCCGAAAAGCGAATTACGGTGAAGATATCATCATCGGGGTGATCGATTCAGGTTTGTAATCAAATTTCTAGTTTAAATCCAGAAGTTGTTGAAACCCAAGTCAGACATTAGAAATGGACATCGGTTGACTCCGTGCTTGTTTTTGTTGCAGGCATATGGCCTGAATCACGAAGCTTTGATGACAACGGATATGGCCCTGTGCAGGCACGGTGGAATGGCATATGCCAGACCGGAACAGCGTTCAATGCAACGAGTTGCAATAGAAAGATCATCGGCGCACGGTGGTACTTCGAGGGAATTAATGCCATGCACCTCAAGGGTGAGTACATGTCACCTCGGGATTTCAGCGGCCATGGCACTCATGTTGCCTCGACGATTGCCGGAGGAGAAGTGCAGGGTGTGAGCTATGCCGGCCTAGCCACCGGCATGGCACGTGGCGAGGCACCACGTGCACGGCTAGCAATTTACAAGGTGTTATGGGGCCCGAACACAGCAGCCAGTGACGCGAGCATCCTCGCAGCCATTGACGATGCCATACACGATGGTGTAGATGTCTTATCGCTCTCACTGGGAGGGGGTGCCGGTCATGAGTTCCCTGGGACACTTCATGCTGTCTTGAGAGGGATCTCAGTTATCTTCTCTGCCGGGAATGATGGCCCGGCACCACAAACGGTGACGAATGTCGTGCCATGGGTCACGACAGTGGCCGCTAGCACGATGGACCGGGCCTTCCCAACCTTCATATCTCTCGGAAACAAAGAAAAGCTTGTGGTATGTACGTTTCTCCAAGTACTTGTTCTGATATTTCCTTTTTAAAAAATATATAGGAAAATGCACCCAAATACATCCACTCTCAAGGAATAGAAACATCCCAGCTAGATAAAAGTCGATAATTTACATCATTACACATGCTAGGTACAGGTTAACTAACAAACTGTTTTTAGTTGAAAGAACACAACTGACTTACCATAATCGTATAGGTTTTACTCTTTTTTGGCGGGAAGTCGTATGATACGTCAAGTGTCAAATTAGCGTGCGCCGAAACATAATCGTATAGGCATTCATTGAACTTTCTTGAAAAAGAAAAACTTACTCTCTCATTTGTCTTTGATCTTAAACGCAGGGACAATCTCTTTACTACAACTCTACTCTGAACAGCGACGACTTTAAGGAGCTTGTTCATGCGGGAAGGTAGCGACATAACACACTCAATTGACAATTTACATTGTTATTAGTTTCACGGTTTATCGAACCATATTCAGTTTAAAACTTTTGCGCAGCTGCACGGAGGAGTGGTTAGCGTCAAGCAATGTGACCGGCAAGATCGTGTTGTGCTACGCACCGAGGGAGGCTCGGAGCGTGTTGCCTCGGGTAGAGCTACCCCGCACCATCAACCGTACCGTGAGTGCCAGAGCCAAGGGCCTCATCTTCGCGCAATACAACATGAACAGCTTGGACTCCCTGACGGCGTGCAAGGCCGGCATGCCATGCTTGTGGTAGACTACGAAATCGCACAGAAAATTGCATATTACTGGGAGAACACAGAGTAAGAAGTCGCGTTGCCTGGAATAGGGTCGATCGTCATATATTTTCTTTCTCCAATAACTAATCTGTGAATGTTTTTTGTCATGATAGGAATCCCATTGTGAAGGTGTCACCTACCATGACTGTTGTCGGAGACGGGGTGCTATCGCCGAGGGTTGCTTCATTCTCCTCCAGAGGTCCGAGCCCCCTATATCCAGGCATACTCAAGGTACTCCCACTGTGAAATTTATAACTCAAAGACAAAATAATTGCACTTGCGGTCCCCCCTTTTTTGCGCAAATACTTGCGGTGCTTTTAACTAACTTTTGTGAACGTCTCCGGATTTAAGACTTTTATCTCTGTGGATGTTTTGACAGCCCGACATAACTGCGCCAGGTGTCAGCATCTTAGCAGCTGTTCGTGGCTCCTATGTGTTACTTTCTGGTACATCCATGGCATGTCCACATGTCTCTGCGGTGACCGCACTGCTTAAGTCAATTCACCGTGATTGGTCACCTGCTATGATCAAGTCTGCAATTGTCACCACAGGTATGCACAATGTTTATATGCAAAGTTCTTCCAGCTAGTTTATCTTATATTACTAACTTGTTTCTTTGTGATGATTCTAGCATCAGTGTCCGATGGTTTTGGTGCGCCAATCGAAGCAGAGACGGTCCCGAGGAAGGTGGCTGATCCTTTCGACTTTGGTGGTGGCCATAGACCCAGACAGAGCCAGTGACCCTGGCTTGGTCTACAACGTGGATGCAAGAGAGTACAAGAAGTTTTTTAACTGCACCATAGGATTGTTGCATGGTTGCGAATCCTACCAACTCAATCTCAATCTCCCGTCGATCGCTATTCCGGACCTCAAGGACCATGTCACGGTTCAACGCACTATCACAAATGTGGGGGCGGTCGGAACGACTTATCATGCGGTGCTTGAAGCTCCAGCAGGGGTGGTCATGTCCGTGGAGCCATCAATGATCACATTCGCCAAAGGTAGTAGCACAAGCATGACATTTAGGGTGTCGTTTACTACAAGGCGGAGAGTGCAAGGCGGGTTTACCTTTGGGAGCTTGACATGGTCAGATGGAAATACCCACTCGGTTAGGATTCCTGTCGCGGTAAGAACTGTGATACAAGACTTTGTTGCGGATACATCTTAAATATATTAAATCAATAGTGTGCAATTGTTCATGCATTCATGTACTTATCATACAAAAATGTAGGAAATACTGAAATCCTTTTCTTCCAATATTATTAAATACATGGTAGTCCTTCATGATTAATGAGATGTGTTGATCCTTGACTGTACTAGCAAAACATTGTGTGGCGTGACCACGTGTCCAAAGGGAGCACATACTTCAGGAAATTTTAACAGGAAAGATGTACTTGCACGTCTCTCCTTAGACGGCAGAGTATTCCGTCAACCCCTTATGTCACAGTACATTTTGTCTATGAAGAAAAGCAATGACAACGACGTGAATCGCAATAAAGTTAGACATGCACAATCACCGTCTATAATGTGGCACGACTTTGTAACAGAAAATTATGACACATGACATAGAAGAGGCATAAGAAGGCTAGCAGCTCTGCAAGTGATATAATGGAAAGGCATTTAGACATGACCAAAACAAGGGACAGTAGCTATTTTCCGGAAGCGGCCATTTGGTGCCCGGGCTCAGATGAGCCAAGGCATTAACAGTACCGTGAATTAAAATAAAAAAAATTCAAAAAGTTCTAATTTCTTTTATGGTGCAAGTTGCTTCTGTGCGTGAACTCGGTTCAAAATTTTGTGAAGTTTGGACATCCGAGGAGTTCGTGGCAAAAAAGACAAATTTCAGATGTCTGAGAAACTTTTGAAAATCGAATTGTTCACGCTTGATTTTGTCTTTTTTGCCATGAGTTCCTCGAAGGTCCAAACTTCACCAAATTTTGCACGGAGCTCACGAACAGAAGCATCTTGCACCGCACAAAAATTGGAATTTTTTTAACTCTTTTTATATTTCAAATCAAGGTATTGTTCATTGTGCTCACCCGAGTCCGGGCTCTGGGTTGAATTATCGCTATTTTCCCTGGAATTGCCCCAAAGTAGTTTGGAACCAACTCATGCCTCGAGGTTGTGATTTCAGCACTTGTAGAACCTCTCTCTGGTGTTCTGCCCGCGGCATGGACGCATGTCACTACATTCCTTCCACGGTCCGCACAGGGTACTATGGGGAGAGCGACAGGATCAGGAGCCTGGTTTGCGTTGGTCATTTGCAGCGGCGAGGGTTCTTGCTGGAATTAGGGATCGGGCCATGCGAATATGGGAGGTCCATAAAATATCTTTGCTGGTGTGGCACAGTCGTGGAGCGGCGTGATGGACGTTGGTGGTATTTGCAGTTTATAGGAACACGAACCATCAATACATACTGGCACAAGACATCGTGGTTGTCATGCACCGAGCGAAAGTTGTTGTGCACGCGGTTCTACCATACTGCTATATGACCTTGAATACTTACTTTGGACGGACCATATGGTACTGCTAAAAATCAGTCGACGAAGTCTCAGTCGACTCATAGACCATTAGATCTACTACTGCTTTTAGATGCGTGCAAACTGCTTTTTATTTGTAAATTGGCCCATGTATATGGACGGACTAGTGGGCTGCTTTCGTGTCTTGTTTTTCTTATCAGCTTTGGGTGGGCTAGGCAGGGGAGTGGCGGGCTTTGAACGGTGTATCTTTTTTTTTGCCTGCGAAGTTTACAAAGTTTAAGAAATGAGATGACATGCATCTTAAATACTACACATAGGAATAGAAAAAGAGATGCCTTTTGATTCACACCATAGGATTTTTTCCATTAAGTATAGGCTAATGTTTATTTTCCGATGAAATGTGAAGGATAGGAAGAATTCCTCCATATGAATAAGATTTCATTCCTACAAACCAAAGAGCCCTGAAGGAATTTTTCCTATAGAAATCCTATTCTATGAAAATCCTACAAAATTCCTCCAGACCAAAGGAGGCCTAAGAGTGAAAAGGAAAAGAATTCATACACTGCAGTAACATGTTTTGTGAGCTTTTCTCCTTTTCCTTTTTCCTAGAATCCGTGTGCGTATGTGTGGTTGTTGTTGATAGAAAATATCCCTAAATGTATAGTGTTTTATGTAGTTTTTCTAGTGCAGCATCCATTTTTTAGAACCAGAATTTCCCTTTTCCATATGTGCGTACACGCACGCATTTTTGTATAGAACAAGCACCCATGTCTCCTTTTCTAGGTTT